TGCAGCTAGAGAGTGGGTCACAGGGCTAATTTTTTAAGAGCGAGGGTGATCGGAATGGTTAGCATTCGGACAGTGTATGTGGGCGTACTGATAGGGCACTGAAGCTGTAGCCATTTTTTCCATCGGCAAAAACCAAACGCTGACATTATGTGCATACTAAATGAATTCCAGTGCATATTCTTGTAGTGGAAGATGGCTAGAAATGGACAGAGGGAGAAGTTGGTGCAACGCTAAAAATCTTCAAACCTAAACAACTGAAAAGGCAAAAGTTATTCGGAAAGATTATGAGGTGAACTGTGTGTGCATCGTTTGCGTCAGTAAACCCAACAACTTGGGTTTAGAGGATATCGGACAGGAAAATAGACCTTTAAACATGCATTGGTGAACTCCGTAAAATGCAAGTACTAACATAAGCCATCACAAGAATCAAATTCAGACTTGGTACCTGTGTGAGTGGTTCCCGCCGAAAACCGAGTCTTGAATCTGTTTTTGTCTAAGGTTTATAGACAGCTCAGAGGAAGAATGATTTAACTTTACGTGGGAGTGGTCCGGGTCTTATTGTGAAACGGGGTAGAGACGTTCTAGTTTTTGTTGCGAACTCCGGTGGCTGGTGGACATGGGACGATCAGTAGTCGAGGACTATCGCATTCAAGGATTGGGATTGTCGTTTTTCGTTTATTCGCCGTCATCAGTCAACAATGTCCAACCTCTGGCCTTAAAAATCTTTGATTCGGTCAGTAGACCAAAACTACGAGGGCTCCGTATTTGAGCTCGTATGCAAAACAGAATGCCGTATTTCCTCCTACTAATGGACTAGATCGGTGGTCACAAGTGTTCCCGATATCGACCCACGGTGATATCAGGGCTCATCTTATGGCCCGCTTCGTGCAAATAAGTTTCCGTTGGTGGTGCATTGTCCAATAGCGACAAGACTAGTTCGGAAACTGTACATCTACTTTCACTTACCATCCATCACTCTCGTGCCGATACGTCTTACACCTCGCGCTACCACTTCGCCGGCGATAGCTGTGGTCCAGTGGCCAATGCTGCCTACCGTCACGCAAACTGTCTCCCGTTATCATTTCGTTGACGTCATCCACGAAAAAGGAGCATTTAATATAAAAGAAGGGGGACTGGTCAGTTGTTTACCCCTGAGGCTGACGCCAGTTCCAGGTGGTTGCCGTCAAGCATAAAAACCGCAGTTCTGCCAAACAAAGAACCACAGCGGAAATGATATGTTATACGACTGAATCTGAATCATAACCAGCATTAGCAGGCACCTTCAGACCGATCGGTGGCGGCGGCCTGCCCTAACCGTCTTCCAGGCAGTTAAGTGCACCACAGATAATATGCATACTAAGCTACTTTAAAAGTTTAAGTAGCAATAAAAACAAAGTTTACATATTTTACAGGGGATGGCACTAAGATCGCTCTGTATAAAAAAGAATGTTGCGAAGGTTCTAATAACAATCCGATCTTGTCAGTTGGTATCCCCTTAAGCGCTAACCAACAGCCCTGTTAAAACCCAGGTTCGTAAGCCGGCTGCAGAAATTGAAAGTAAAAAAGTATGTATGAATAAAGTGATCAGAAAAGCATTACCTTCTGGATTAAGCTTCTCCCTCCGCTTGCTTGGAGGCATCAGGTCTAAGAATTGCATCAAACCTCCACGCGACCTAAAAACGAAGAGAAATTTTGACATATAAAAAAAGCGCCCACGCACAGCTTTTAGCTAGAAAACACAAGGAAAATTGGTGTTTCCGAACCGTTAGCGTGCTCGGCGAAGGAAATAATACGGGGGTTACCGGACTGATTTTGACTTTATTGTGGGTACAGAGACCCTATACTCATTGCACGTAATTATTGCCAAAGAAAGAAGTTGTTAGCAATTAACAGAAGGTATTTGCAAGGAGGCGTTTACTTACGGCCAGTCATAATATAAATTGAACACAGTTTCTCTACCAGTGCACTGGCAAATTGAGCGAAATACTGTATAACAAACATTACAAAACAGTTAATTGAGGTGAACCTACTGAGCTCCCATTTCTCCTCCTGGGGGTACTCGTTACAGCGTGCTGATAGTTCGTTAACTGCACACGACGATAACCACCTCTTCCCAGGGGAGCAGAGGTTTGTGTGTCGGCTTATCATTTGCGGGGGACCTGGCTGGCATTTACCGTCGATTCCGATGGGGTACACCGTGTGCATCGCGCCAGGGTGGGAGCTCGGACAGTGATTTGTGCATGAATTAGATTATACTGGTAGTATACTTGCGCTGCATCTATTGTAATCTCTCCCCTTCCCCTACCTGGCCCCGGTGTCATGACAA